AAATTATTAGCATTCTTAAGACTTAGCTAATACTTAGGAGAAAATAAGAGATTAGCAAATTAAGAAAATTAAGTAGACGAAGGCATCTACTTAATCTTCGTTTTGAATTGACAAATTAAATAAACGAGAACATCTATTTAATTCGATTTTTGGAGTTAACAAAGATTTGAAATACAAAAAGTCAAGCTATTAATGAAATACAAATACTATGCTTTTATTAAAATAAATGGAGTGTTACAAAATATGTAGATTTTCGAGGGCAAAACTACAATCTTTTTTGTACACTACAATTTCCAAAACCAAAGGACTAGTCTAGAAATGGCTGAAACATGTAATTAAAATTTCAATGTGCTCGTAAAGATGAAATAAGATTAGAGCTAATCATCTAATAAATTGCAGATCCCATAAAACGAGTCGTTGAGCACCACATAAAAGTACTACGCTACTAAAAAGTAGTTATATGTCCATAGGCATACTGCATACAAGTTCATCCACAATATCCCATATTATCTGTGGCAAGTCAAGGTTAATAAACGTGACAAAGTTGCAAGCCAAAGTTCTAAAACAGTAACGTGACAAAGCTATCGATCAGCAAGCCACCAGTATTCAGATATTATACAAAACAAAAGTTGAGCATGAGGGTTCATTCATATACCTACAAGCCACAACAAGACTTCCCAAAGAATCATACAGGAACAGTGACTTCACTCATCATTCTACTCGAGGATTCCTAAACAACTGTAGTCAAATGTCAAAACACATTAAATACCAATACTAGATATTCCCCGCAACCTCCTGGTCGATTTCATCCACGTGATCTTTTAGTATTTTCCACTGCAAAATAATAGAGATGAAGCCAATAAGATTTATATCAATGTCGTCAATCGCAGATGGTGGGCCTTGGCGGAAAGTCGAAAAACCGCCATATATACACATATATATAACATCATAAACACCTTAAAACATGTAAATAATTTTTTTTTTTAATTTTTTCAAAATGACACTAGTTTCACAAAACAGTAAATATAATCACCATTCAACAAGTTCAACATAACCACACACATGAAAAAAAAATCAATCTAACAAATGACAACCCTTTAATAGAATTCAAACCAAAAGCAATGGTAAAAAGCAAACCGAACACACAAGTTATATAGGCTGAAATTAAATTAATTTAGCCTAAGAAGTTATCTCAACCGACACCTATTGGAAAGTCATGCACAAAAAATTTATATATAAATGTTAATTAATTGATTATTATTTCTAAGGAATCGCATCGTTGTACATAAGTATATGTTTCAGAAGAAGAAAGCTGGGTTTCTCCTTTTTTACTGTCTGTAAGCTGCAAAGGAAAATCCATCTATCCATCCAAGCCGAAAAGGAATAAGAAACGAAAAAAAAAAAGTAAAAAAGAAACAAAAAAACATGCCAAAGATTAGGTACCCTGTGGGATTGGTTCGCGAGAGAAAGGATCGCTAGTGTGGTTCTATTTCGCTATTTCTCTCGCTGTTTGGTTGCTAGAATATTACTGTTTCTTTTGAATGAGAAACCTGATCCTCTTTTGTCTTTTATGATTATTATTATTATTTTCTAATAGATCTGGGGTAGAGATTGACCAGGCCATTTTCAACCATGCCAAGGCCGCTATTTGACAACACTGATTTACATTGAACAAGAAAGTTATGAAAGTGGAAAAGACTCAGAAAATCCTTTCACAAGGCGGAAGTTTACCTGGTCCATGCTCAGTGAAATCCCTGTAATCACAAAGAAAAGCCTACCGTCATTATATTCATATATTGTTCAAATTATCAAAGCAAAAAATATAATTGTGGTTGACAAATCTTCAAAAATTATCGAAAACTGTACTGATTCATATGGATTAATCAAGCTCGAATGATCAAAAAAATCTACAAAATTCGTAAATCAAGCTCGAATGATCTGCCAAGTTATCACAGCAAAGCACAAATTAAAAATTGATGAATGAAAACATAGTACTATATTCAGTCAGCACCCAGCATTTTCATTCGTGTGTTTTTAGCCTCCTTGTAACTCAGATAGCATCAGTGGGTTCTTAATCTCTTTCTAAGACAGATGATCCTTGTCCCATAGAATCAAAAGGTAAAATGTGTTGGGTACATGAACTAAACAAAAGCTCTATGACAACTGACAAGAAAACCACAATGAATCAAAATTATGTACACCACACGTGGAATATTTCCACCACCCCAGTCTAATAACAAAAACTAGTCAATATCAACTAGCAAGGACTTATTATACACACCAGGAAAATTAAGACTCTTACTAGAATTACTGTAGGATATGAATGCTATTTAATATTGGAAAAAACAATCCAAGTAATGGAAGAATAAAGGTAATAGGCACCGGTATCAAATAAGTGATTATGTGATCAAACTAGCTTAAACGAACTGTGGTTAATGAAACATCCATGCGGCTAGCTGAGTACAAATTATATACCAAAGCGATTCCTAGTACAATGCACTGCTATCCAACAAGAAACAAAAGCTAAACCGCATATTTTCAGGCTTTCCTCATTACTTCAGATAACATAAATGGAACATTTATAACAATCAGAAAGTTGCAATTTCTGAATCGCCATTTCAAAACATCAAAAAAGCCACAAAATATGATATATGTGATGGGAATATAAGGCAGTTGAAACAAATCCTTTACACAGTCATGCACAACCCATCACTCGGTTATCCATGTTCCCTCATTTTCTGTTCATATAGATAGAGTTGTTTATATACCCTCCACGCAGGTTATTTATGATATCAACAGACATCATATATACAACACAAACCTTAGCGCAAATATATTTTACATCCTTTATGCTACATAATTCAAAGTTATTTACTCACTCAAAAAATACAATGTCGGATTCAAGCACACAGAACGAAGTCCATAATATGAAATAGTTAAAATACAATCAGCACATTCAATAGCATGTCTTTGATATCAACACTTCCTTACCTTTTTTGCCAGGAAATTCTTTTCCATCCTTGATATAGAACTCCCTAATATCCACCACAAGCTTCCCTTGCCAGTTCCTGACCGAGACTCTACGGTTCTTAGACAGCTACTCCCACAAAGGAACAGAAATTAGGTCAAAAGCCCAGTCAAAATGAACATAAGTGAAGAAAATATAAGAAGGAAAAAAAAAATTACAAGCACTCACACACATTACACTCCAAATAAATTAACTATACCTCGCAGACGACGATTTGATCAGAGTCATCAGAACTGTTTTCTGTTCTCGAAGATTTTTTCGGAGGTTCATCTCCTTCAGACAGAGCCTCATCCTCCTCCCTCTTTTTGCCCTTCTTCGACATTCCCACTAATCTGCAAGCAAATATACGAAAATGACCAAAAAAAACTGCAGATATATTTTTTCAAGCAAATAACTTTAGACAATAGGGTTGCGTAAACAGTCGAAGCATAAACATTTCAGATACACACACCGAAGACGTGCTGTGGGGTTGAGAGAAAGTGAACCTGAGTGTAACCTCGGAGATTTAGGTATAGCTGCGTAGAGGGGTTTATCCGTTTAGTCGAGCTTCAAGGGTTTTATTTCTCACAAATTCGCTGATCTATATATAGCCCTCGGATGTGCGTGGTTTTTATATTTTT